TAGTTCCTTCTGGGTTGATGTGACAAAATTCTTGGCAGAAACAATTTGTGAGAAGAAAGATCTATTTTGACCCCTTGTTTTAGAAGGTTACAGTCCATCATAATAAAAAGTCATGGAGGGATGGCTGAGCCCATGGTGGCAGGAACCTGTGTAGTGCCTGTTCACATCGCTGCTGGCCAGGAAGCAGAGGAGATCAGAGCCAAGGTTGGACTTAACCTTCAAAGGCCTGGTCCTAGTGACCTCCTCCTCTTTCTAAATATTTATTGTTATTATTATTGTTACCGTTGCGGGTGTGATGTGTCTGTGCATATGTGTAGGGAGGTCAGAGGGCAATTCTGTGGGGTCGGTTTTCCTCCTCCACCTTCACTTGGAGTATTGGTTAGTCATGTCAGCTTCCCACAAACTAAGGTCACATGAGAAGAAGGAGCCTCAGCTGAATTCTCTCCATCAGAAGGGCCCGTAGACAAGTTCTTGATTGGTGATCGATGTGGGAGGGCCAGCCCACTGTGGGTGGTGCCACCCCTGGGCAGGTGGTCTTGGGTTGTGTAAGAAAGGCTGAGCAAGCTACGGAGAGCATTTGGCTTTGCACGCCCACCCCCACACATCATGCGTACCCCACCCCATGGACCTTCTCAGGTAATCATCATTCCTCCAGGGTTCCTACGCTGACTTCCATCATTGAGCAACTGTGGTTGGAACACGGGAGCCACACTAACCCTTTCCTCTCCAGGTTGCTTCATGATGTTATCACAGCAACAGAAAGCTCGGTCGGACACTGGGTTGCAGGGATCGGACTCGGGTGGTCGGGTCTTCCTGGCAAGTGCTCTATAATGTGGGCCATCCTTCCAGCTCCTCCTCCTCTCGTTGTGAGTTCACACGTGAGAAGGTCCACGGCAGGTGGGGTACACATGATGTGTGGGCATGTGCATGTGAAGCCAAATGGCATTGCTCGGGAGCCATCCAGCTTGTTTTTTGAGACAGATTCTTTCACTAACCTGGACCTTGCGAGTTATTCTAGGCTGGTTGGCCAGTGGAGTCCACCTGTCTCTGCCTCCCCAGCACTGGGATTACAAGTGTGTGTCACAGTCCCAGACTTCTGTACATGGGCACTGAACTTGGGCCCTCATGCTGGCCAGACAAGCGTTTTATGGACTGAGCCGTCTTCCTAGACCTCCAGTGACCTATTTCTATCAGGTAGGCCTTCCCTTCTAAAGACTCCACTGCCTCCCAAAGTTAAGCCAGCAGCCAGGAAGCAAGCACTCCAAACAGGAGCCTTGGGGGACATATCAGATTCAAATCAGAACAACACTGATAGAAACACAGGGGGGAGGGAGCCCCAAGCCCATCAGATATCATTATAAATACCATTGGAAGGAACTAGGGCATAGTTCCTCATCCTGAGAATTAGCAATGAGGAAGGAAAGAATCAGGCCTGTAGTCTGTCATTCCTCTACTATTTCATCTCAACTTGAAAGTCCTGGTTTATGAGGGAAAGTTTTATATATATATATATATATATATATATATATATATATATATATATCTCCCAGCTAATAAAAGCAGAAGGATTGATAGGATTAGAAAAACCACTTTTTTATATCCCTTAATAAAATAATTGATTCAGGCAATAATCGCTGATGGATGGACCGATTAATCGGAGAGGTTGATAAGCAATGTCCTAATGGGAAGCGGACCATTACCTCTGATCGCACCGACACCTGAGAACTTTGTGTGTCCCTGGAGGTTCTGTGACACACAAACCCCTGCCTGTGAGGTGTTTCCCAAACAGGAGACCCTAGAGAAAGGATCTGGGTTCAAGTAGTTTATTTGAGAGACGGTCTTAGGGCTAAAGGAGAGGGGTGGTGATGCTGGGGAGGAAGGGAGCCGACAAAAAGAATTGCCAGGGCCGGGGTGGCTCAGTCCTAAAGGGCTTGCCACACGAGCATGAGGCTCTGTGCTCAGATCGCCAGTGCGCATGTAAAGCCCGGTGCAATGGGATGTGCCTGTAATCACACCACAGTGGAGACGAAGACAGGGGACCCCAGGACCTCACCGGGAGTCAGCCTAGCTATATTGGCGAGCTCTAGGTGTACACACACACACACACACACACACACACACACACACACACACACACACACACGAAGGTCGTGTGTGGTATCCCCCCCCCCCCCCACCTGAGGACCGAACCAGGGACCTTGAGCTTGCTAGGCAAGCGCTCTACCGCTGAGCTAAATCCCCAACCCTGGGTTTTTTTTTTTTTTGTTTTGTTTTGTTTTAAATGAACTATTGAGTGGGTTACAATCAGGCAGCTGGAGCTCAGACTACAGAACATTCCAGAAACCTCCCCTAGAGAGCAAGGAGGCTGGGGATTTAGCCTTTGGTTCCCACTCTGTCCTTATCTAAGTGTCCTCCAGGGACGCTAACCTCCCAGTACTTCTTAGGACCAGAGAATTCCCTCGAGTGGCAGGTTCAGAACACACAGGAGAGTCTACTAATGACCTCCAGGACTGGCCATAGACATATGGCCAGGCAGTGCCAGCACCATTATGGGACCTTGTCGGAGAGCTGAACCTCAGACTGACCTCTAGTTACTGGAAATACAGGGAAGGAGGAATAAAGGAAGGGCACCATGAAGAACGCAGTAGACGCATTCTGACGGAGGACATTCTACAGGACACAAGATCCTCCAACAGGGTCTTCTCTGAGCTGGTTCCCACTGTGGGCAACTGGACTTGAGCCCAGTGGGATCTCTCTGAGTAAGAGAAAGCCTTCACAAGACAGGAAGCTGAGGCATCCCTCCAGGACTCCAGTCCTGGCCTCTATTCCCTGGATTTCCAAGCTGGGCCTGCTCAGGGTTGAGTGACTTCCCAGTTAAGGCCGGGTACAGAAAAGCTGAGGAGAGCTGCAGGGCGTGGTCCAAGCGGAGCTCGGGCATGGGGCAAGCGGTGGTTTC